TGACATCATATACATAATACCATATTGAATGGCACTCTATAAAAGGTTGGGTCTGGTGGTTAGGGCACTTGACTCACAATCTATGGGTTTGGATTTGAATCCTGTATCTGAACGTGCTTACCCTTTCATCTGTGGGGTGTTATAATGTGATAGTATGCCACACTTTTTGTTGGGACCATTGCTATCCTGTCACCCAGCTAGCTTACCATGTTTCATGGGTGATGCCTGTGATAGCAAGTTACTTGTCTCAATCCTAACAGATTCTCCCGACAACATTGGATCATCCATGTACTGGCAATTTGGTCTCCAATCACTCATCTTCGGACAATAGATGCATTCTGTCACAACAGGATGGGATTACAACTCTAAGCCTTCTCTCCACTTCATATGTTAGCCAGGGTACTAAATATGATTTGTTCTAACCCACTATCTGGTCCTGTTGATAGGGCCAGATTGGCTGCTATGCCCTGGTTTCTGCTTCTACAGTTCCATTTGGTGTGTCCAACTCTTCCACTTCTTTTTAGGCTCTCTCTGTGGAAGCAGCCATGATATGATATGGTACATCTGGTCATCCAGAAACTCAAGCTTCAGGCATAAAGGTTATGCAGTCTTTCGCATGGCATCAGAGTTTAATTTCTAAGGTTGCCATGTATCTGTCCCAGTTTTTTACTTAGTCCAAAATGAACTTTTGTCAACTGAAATGACATGCATATTGACAAGGGTTTATTGAAAGGAGGTTGAACCCATTTTGATTAGAAGTGCCAACCATAACTCTTTTTGAACTGGCTCTTTGGCAGAAATTTGTGCATCTTCCACAATTTCCTTGTTTCAGGTGGCTTTATCGACTACCATTCGATTATAACAATTACATATTTTTTGAATCCCAAGTACTCTCCAGATTTCTCAAGTTGCTTTGAGTCCTTGGTCCCAAATGAGCATTCCTGTTATCTAACAGGTATATTACGGTTATGATCTTTCTCAACACCCCTTTATGACCTGACTCTTATATGCCGTGTATCCCCTCTACCTGAAAGCTTATTTTTCATTGCTGCTGATCTACAGACATCACCAGTTGTAGTGACTTGTGCTGTTTGTCCACAGGTCACTTTATCCTTCTCTCTGTGTTCTCAGTCTTCTTTACCAACACATTGCCAGACAGGAAAGGCGATCAGTTCTGTTCACCAATTCATCTGATCCTTATTTCTCATTTCTATGTCCAATCAGATTTTGATCTTGGTTGTGTTCAGTGAGGGTCTTGATTGTTTTTTTTTTGTCTGCACTAATGCTGTTAAAAATGCTAGACACCAGCTTTTTATTCTGGGCTTTCTTTAAAGGCAAGAAATTTTCTGCAAGTCACGCCTAATCAGATTTGTTATATCTTTCTCTTCTTAGCAGCCCAGTTGAATTACCTGCTGGAAGTCATTGTGCAGACTGGTATGTGGACCTTCCCCAATACTTTTATCTCACATTATTTGCTTACAATGCCAGAAACCCGTGGTGAGCAGAGCACAGATAGCCCATTGTGTAACTTTGTGCCTAACTTCAAACAAACAAACACATTATTTGCATGATCTGTCAGTCTTTTCATCTGAGGGTTTTTGCATACCCTCTTTAGCTATCTTGACAATTTCTTCTTATACAGAATGGTGAATATTTTCTTTGCTTCTTTTCAGGGTTCCTTACCTTGTTTTCACAGGATCCCACTCTGTGGCGAGTGTTGCCCAGACAGGTGTGCTTTTATCAAACCAATTCCACACTAGTAACCAGTTATTCAATATACAGTTCGCAACAGGCTCTGTAGAAATGAGGTGTTCCATAAACCCCCTAGGAGCTACCAGGTGGTATTACTGTTCTATGCTGGATCACCACTCATGGACTATCATGAGTAAAGCATAAGGGGATCCTGCCCATCTTTTAATAGAATAAATCAAGGTCGATTTGCTTTTACAAATTTAGGGAACTTGGTTCATCTATTGCACTGTTCCTCAGGACTCCCTAATGTGCCTTATCCCCATTCTAATAGTGGAGCTTGGGAGTCCTTACCACACCCAGTTTCCAGTCACTGGGGTGGTAGACAGAGGCTTTTCCTCCAGAGTGTTAGAGTGAACTTCCTCCACTCTTGGAGAAGAGGGTGAAGTTGAGGGTCCTCTTACCTGGGTCCCTGGATGTTTTTTTTTCCAAGGTGTCAGTAGGAGTGGCACCAGCCTATGTGGGAGCTTACTCGTAATACCGGTTCAGATTTGACACTAACATACCTGCTTAGGGGTGCATGGCCCTTCTCTTTAAGCATTATTAGTTCAGTGCATTGTTCATGGAAGGGGGTTCACTATCTGCTCATAATTTTGAATGTGGTGTGGTCCCATCCTGGGTTCTTGTATGAGCAAAGTTGTTCCATGTCCTCTCCATAATTCTGGGGCAAGTGAAAGTGCTTTGCCCACACAGTTGGAGAGTGAAGATGGATGTTCATAAATCCAGACTGTATAAGTTCTGTTTCCGTTGCTTGAGTAAGGCATACAAGATCCCATCATTCCGATTCTGGGGTGTTGCCTTTCAGACTTCTTCAGGTGGAAGAGAAGGTTTGTCCTTTTCAGTGTTGCTTACTTTCTTATCATAATTCCGGTGGCTTGGAATGCATCACTTTATGGCTACAGGTTGGGATCCACTTATAAGTATATATATATATATATATGTCTAATGTTTGTGGTCCAATTACTCTAGACACAAATGTGGGATATAGGAACCATCACCCCCTTAATTCCAACCCCAAGTAGTGGAACCTCAGTTATCTGGTTGGAGCTGGTCTATAGTAATGATAACATGTGTAAAATTCCACCCACAATACAGGAATTTAATTCTTAGCGAAGAGCATACCTAGTGGTTCCCCAACTAGGATGCCAATCTTCTGTTGACACACCCATGATCTATGCAGACACTTTCTGTATGAATAATGCTCTCATAGGCCCATCAACCTTATCAATGTGGGATACTAGCTTTAAGTGGGAGTGGAGGTATGTATGTTTTGGAAGTTAACATTTTTCTAAATCAAAAATGTATTTCCAATAATACTTACATCCACTCACTCTCCCACCCTTCCTGTGATAACATTATCTGAATGAGGTGTTTATATACAGTACCAGGATAGAGGGTGAACTGACATAGGCGAAGAGTATCTCAAGATAAATATCACCAAGAGCAATTTAGTGGGGTATAAAAGACTGGAGGAAGCGAGAAAAATCAGACCAATGCTTAGATGGGCAAACAAAGTATTATTGGAAACACATTTTCAATTTAGGAAAATGTTAACTTTTACAAGCAATGAAACCTGAATATGTTTAGAGAAATAATTTTAAAACTTGAGAAAAGAAAAATTTAAATAGTTTAGGCGAGAGCAGTAGAGAACTAAAAAGCTGAGGAAATGAGGACCAGAAACTGGGATTTTCTCTCAGTATTCCATAAACCATTAAAGAAAACGGTGATGAACAGGACATCAGAGGGAGAAACTTAAAGAGTCAGTTGTAATTTGAGCAATATGAGAGGCCCTAAGAGTGAGCTAAATTGGATGAAATGGATAGTAATAAGAATTTGGTAGATGTACTAAAGACCATCAGAAAGAAGCCAGATAGGACCACTGGGAAACAGAGTTGATTGATTTAATAGCTTATTTGAAATTAGCTGGATTACCCCTTCCCTGGATGTATGCTATATAAATTAATGATTAATGAAAGGTTATCTTAGTACATGAAAAGTTGCTTCCCTTATATGTAATTGTAAAAATCACAAAAATGGCCATAAAAACTACAAAACACAAAATGTGAAACTGCATCTCTGCATGGATCCAATAAATCTTCATGCCAAATTTGGTGAGGATCCATCTACAGGGGGTGAAGTAGTTGCAAAAATGACCATAAAAACTGCAAAATGCAAAACTGAAAATTTGTGTGTATCTCCCCATGGATCTAATGAAACTCCATACCAAATTTGGTTAAAATCCATCTACAAGGGGGTGAAGTAGTTGTAAAAATGCCCATAAAAACTGCAAATTATTAATTGTATTTAGTGTTTTATAAGCAGGTTCAGATCTAAGAAGGTCTGAACTCCCACTCCATTTTTTCAGAAATTAATAAAAAAAACAGTCGGACATCCTTACACTACCATATAGTATGAAAAAGAAATCTTAGATGTCAGTGTTTTTATTTGATTGGGCTTGTAATTACCATTAGTACCCAGTTAATCCACAAAAGCTATTACTGAGCTGTTCTCCTCCTACTTATACCATTTTCAATGAAGTGATCAAAAGAAGTAGTGATGCACAATTTTATAAGAGTGATCCACAAGAAATGTTAATGCATTGATGTGTCAGATATTTGAACAATTTTCATGTGTACCATTGAAAAGTCAAGAATTGAGAATGTGCAAATAGTAATTGGGTGATATGCTATGTTAGAACATATTCGCATCACATTTGTCAAGCACTGTATGTTTCTTTCATGTCTCAGTTTTGAAAGTTTTAGTCATTTTAGAAAATGCTCATTATGAATTTTCCTTGGTGATTTTTGTGACAATGAGTTACAAATAAATAGGTTTGTTTGATGATTTTACATTTAGGCATTCTCTCAGATAAGGAATGCTAACAAGAACTAACTGACAGTGAATTTTCCTTTTTTTTTGAGAATATCTTACTGTGACTGAGATTCATGCCTCTACCTGCAGTAACTCTCAGAAGGAAAAGTCTGATTTTAATAGCTTTGTAATGCTATGTTATCTTTCCTCATTCTTTCAAGCACATTTCAACCCCTGTTATTTTATTGTAGTTTATATTTTGTGGTTATATAAATTATGAAGCATCTCATGATTGTGTTTTTCTGGATTTTTAATGTCCTTCTGTCCTTTTTTTCCTCTTTTATGTGATTTTTATGTATATAAATTTTTAAAAGTGAAGCCTGTAGTTATGTGAAAAAGGAATAAAATTTTGATTTAATAGTTAATTGTACTTATGACAGATGATTAAAGATCCATCACGTGAGAAACTTCTGCCAGATCCACTAACAGAGCCATACTTTCAGCCTCCATACACTCTTGTCCTAGAAATGACAGATGTCCTAGTCCATCCTGATTGGACGGTAAGCTTTATTTATTTATCTGATAAAATATTTCTTTGAAGAATAACTCCTTTTCATAAAATGTCCAATGGTAATATTAACCCTTTGACCACAACCTACTTATGTAGTAAGTAGGTATGCAACTCCCACGAAAGTTCTTTACAAAAATGAAACTAGTGGATAAAATTCCATTAAATTTCAGATGAAAGGTCCTATAAGTATGTAGTTTTTGACAAATAAGATATTTAATTTTGATTTTTTCTAAAGCATTGTTTTTCTCATGCCTTTTTTCTTTTCACATGTTGTTTATTGAACATGCAAAGTAATTTTCATTTTAAGATTAAAAATACTTTTATGTATCACAACATTTTCAAATTTCACATGCAAAATCCTTATAATGTCCAGATAGTTATCAAACCTTTCTTAAGAAAGAAACTTTATATTTTATGTGTTATACTCACCAACGAATATCTGTATGGGTCGATTGATCTCGTAACCACTATAAAATATTAGGAAATAATTATAAATTATGCCTTTTTTTGTTCCAGAATGACGACAAATTATAACAAGAAAATATACATTTTTAGACTAAATAGCTTAAATCTCATGACATTATACATTTATATATATTTATTATTTTTATTATATTCACCTTTCAGCAGTGCCTGACTAAAAATACAGAAGTTACAATGATGCAGGGCATGTGCACTCATGTTACCTTATCCATAATATAAAACTGACCTTTAGTCTCTATAAAATGACCTTATATGACATTATATATATGTATATAGATCATTATTATTTACAAATAATCTTCTTAAACTTATTCTTCTTAAAAAATAGAATAGTAAATATAGAAGTAAAGCAAACAATTATCTCTTCTAGTTCCAACCTTTGTATTCGTTTGCTGCTTGCTGTAGGTTGCTAAGCCTTATCAAATTTTGCACATGGAGGATGCAGTGGCTATGCAAGTGGGAGCAGTCACTCCTGGGCACAGGTGTGAAGGGGCGCAAAATTTCCTCTGGCCTTTAATGCCTATTAATTAATAATTATGCCCTCCCCTAGGATATAGCACAACTGCCCTACGTTAAATAAATGTGACACAGTATTATGTTATTTGTGTGTATTACGCTTGCAGTTTTAACTTTTAAAGGCCGCCCACTGAAATACAGTGAGACCGAATTGAC